CTATCATTAAATATAAATTATCAATTATTAACTATTTCAAAAATAAATAAATAAATAATCCCGCTGATACATTTTTGCTTCTCCAGCTATTATGCTTTCCAATCCCTAGGAGGCAATTTCCTCGTAAGAAAACTAACTTTGAATAACCTAATACATGTACTGTTTCGTCATGTTCTTTAATTTTATATGTTACGATGATAGAAGTAAATGCTTTTCTTCAAAAATTTCCACACAAAATGGTTATCTCTCATCTCGAGTACCTTGTATTGAAAATTGAGTACAAAAAAATCTCTCTAAAAATACGCAACTGTATATCTTCTAAAGCCCAAACTAAGTAGGCAGGCTGAAATCTTTACTAAAATATCCAATTCCCTTCTTTTCGTTCAGCCCAATTTCCATCCTAATTCCCGAGGCCAACAAAATGAGCCAGCAATCTTCCATTTCAAGACCCAGTTTGGTGCCCGCCCCACACCCAATTTCCAAAACCTCATTCACTGTTTTGGCTATTGCAAATGGTCGTGGTTTTTCCTTCGTTTTTTCATTTTTATCGGCAAACGTGGGTGATTTTCATCGTCTTCAATTCAACGTGGGTGGTCTTGCGCCATGGTTTAGCATGCTGTTAGGTAGTAGAATGAACGTAAAATGGTTCACTTGTTGCCGGCACCCTCTTCTTCTCTTCTTATTGTTCTTAACAAATCCCTACCTGTGTTTTTATTTGTGATTTTGGTGTTTAAGTTGAGAAATGAAATGTTACAGCGATGATTATTGGGTACAAAGGAAAATTATATTGATTTCTTCTTCACTCTCATCTTGCAATTACTGAAATTTCAGGTGTTATTTTTTTTATAAGTTTTGATATTAATAAAATTTTATTTTATCAGAATTCCAAAAAATTCTATTCATCTTTAATTATTTTGACAATTAATCCAATTTTGAATCAAAGCTTCCAATACAACATCTGCTTCGCTTCTGCCATTGTGTTTGATGATTGAATTTCAGTGACAAAATAGCCATAGCCAGCAATATCAAGAAGAGAGAAGAATTTTAAAATATGTAACACATCCACAATAAAATTTGCAAAATTAGTCCAATCCCAGGAGAGTTTGCTCGTTGGGTCAAGGGTCTTAAAGACTGGTGGCAGGAGAGAAGCTGGGCCATTCCTAGCAGTTCGGCACTTCAGCTCGGCCAACCAATACACCATGGACTTCAAATTGATAATTTAAACCCATCACACGGATAATCACAAGGAACCCACGCACTTAGAAGGCCAACTCTTATCCATATGTAGCCCAAAAGCTATCCAAATTCTATTTAAGACAGATAGACTTGGCACACCAGCGGCTTGAGTTGGGTTCAAGTTGAATCAACTCGAGTGGTGATTTATATGGGTTGGATCATAAATAAATTGTGTGTTAGAAAAATTCAATCCTAAACCAACTCGAATGAGTTGCAGGTTAATTCATGAGTTAATTTTATTTTTAATTTTTATAATTATTTTTTATTAATTTTATTATATACAAATAAAATTATATATATTTAAATTAAATTAAATTATTATAATTTATTAGCACTAAGTACTTTATAATCTAAACCACGAACATTTAAATTAAGAAAAAAATCAAAAAATTATAAATAACAATAAGTTGATTAACAATATTAAACATAAAATATTTAAATTTCTTGAAAAATAAAATTTTAATTTTATAATCATCTTGAAATATTATCAAGTAGTTTAAGTCATTTTTTTAATGATGAAATTGCTCTTCCAAAACATCTTTTACTAAATTATTATGTTTATGTTCTAGTATCACATCTTTTCGATATTTTTAATTGTATTATCATTTTATTCATAATATTTGAGTAATAGTTAATACCAAAAAAAAAAAAAAGACACTTGGATAATTAAATCAAACTCATCATAATTTCTTCTTCTCTTTCTAGAAATTAGGGAATATGAATTAATGGAAGGAATTACCAATAAGAAAATTAATTAAAAATAATAAATATAATATTTTTTAAAAATAATAATAATAAATAAAACAAACAGCTCAACCTATTAACCCGCGGGTTGATCTTAACCCGACCCATGACCTGTATGGATTGATAATACAGGTTATTTACGGATTATAGATTAAGATATATAGACCCTAACCCTTTTTTCACGAGTTGGGTTAGGATCGGATTGACGGGTCGAATAGATTTTTGCCACCCCTACACAGACCATAATCCATCCAATACTAACCGCTTCCACCATGTGGTACCACTTTGGTTGCACTTGAGCTTTTCCCATGGTGCTTCATGCATCCTATCATCACCTTTTGCCTGGTTGCCCTTTCATCTGCTCACAATATGGAAAATCACAGCCAGCCAACTTCTATCATGGACACGTAGCACCATCAGGCTTGTGCTAATAAAGAAGATAACAAGCTTAATGATACGCAGACAACTTATTTATACAATAGGCACTCTATGGGTTCTAGTAAGAGGAACTTGAGCCGGACAACATCTCCATTGATATTGCATCACGATATCACTGAAAAAGTGAGTGAAATCCATTGTTCAAAGAGAAGGCTTCAGCTCTAAAGATAATCTAAATGACTAGAACAGAACAAACGTTCCACAATTGCACCACAAGGGCCTAATGAGTGTCTAAGAGCAATATATGACCAAGTGAATCGGTTGTTGCAGTGCTACTCAGACACATGGTGTGTTTTTCATATAAAATTCAAAATGCAATAGTTACCACAACTATTAACTAATACACAAACAACACGTGAACAGAAACAAGTAAAGCCTACCTAAATTACATTCCCTATTTCTATTACACTTTAACTGTGTCTCAAAACAAATAAAGACTTCCAGCAGTTAATACAGTTCCATACTTATAAAAGCATCAATGGGTACACAGAACAAAATGAGAAAGAAAAAGCAGGAAATTGGGACACTAAAAACAGAAAATGTAGCTAGCTAAAAATTAAATAAAAAACACTACAAATATAACTTGTAGACGTACAACAAATTGAGGTTGTTACAAAATGTCATTATGATGTTAGTTAAGTACAAGGAGAAACAAAGATCAGCTATATGAACTTAATCTTCTAACATTGTTTCTGTTTTTTAAATGAAACAATTTAGATTCTTGATAAAAGAATTATACCTTTCAACTTCCAAGAATCCTTAGTCTTAGTTACAAGATAGCAGTGTAAATTTTTGCTGTGATCTATTATGAAATAAGCTGCAAATTATATTATTGCAAAACAGAATGAACTTACTGAC